TTTTGGGGTGATAGAACTAGCACACGTCTATGCAGTCTCAATAGGAACCACTAGCCTAATGTGGCTATTGCACACAGAAATGTGGCTAGAGACTAGTGAATTGGGTTTTTAATATATTTAATTTTAATTAGTATAAATGTAATTCCACATGGCTACAAGGTCCTATATATTAGAGACAGCATAATCCTAGGTTCAAAGAGACTGAAAGAAATAGAAAAACCAAATGTTATGCATGGGCCATGATTGCATTCTGGATCCGTGGTGGAAGAGAAACAAGAGAAAAATATTTGGAGACCATAGTTAAATGTTTTAGTCAGCTTTTTTCGCCGCTCTGACTTAAAGACCTGACCAGCACAATTGTAAAGGAGAAAAATTTTATTTGGGGGCTCATGGTTTCAGAGATCTTCGTCCATAGAAATCTGGCTCCATGCCTCAAGGCTCTAGGTGAGGCTGAACACTGTGGGGGAAGAATGTGGTGGAAGGAAGCAGCTCACTTGATGATCAGAGAGCAGAGAGAAAGACTCCGCTCACCATACAAAATCCATACCCCAAAGACATACCCCAATGCCCGCCTTCTCCAGCCACAGTCTACCAGCCTTCAGTTACCACCCAGTTAGTTAATCCCTATCAGGGGATTAATTCACTGATTGGGTTAGGGCTCTCACAACCCAATCATTTCTCTTCTGAACCTTCATGCAAAGTCTCACACTTGAGCTTTTGGGGGACACCTCACATCCAAACCATGACAATACATATAAATGTAAATTACTCAGTTGACATTATAGAACTAAGGGTAATTTTCTTAGGTGTGATTATAATGTTTGGGTTTTGTAGGAGTATTTCATTTTTAGGAACTGGATGCTACAGTATTCAAGGCTGGAGTGCTGCTATTCTCTTTCAAATGGTTCAACGCATACATAAAGAGAGGTATGATGTCACAAAATGTTAGTAATTGGTAAAACAGTGGAGTGCGTACTGGTACGCACTGTACTCCTCTTTTACCTTTTCTATGTGTTTAAATTTTTTTAAAAAGTGGGAAGCATAAAATGAGAGGTACAGACACCCATCAAAAGCATGATAGTAAGAGAGCAAGGCATAGCTTCCAAAACACGGTGTTCCAAACATACACATGCAAAGCAGTTGTTTGGCACTTCACGGTTTTTTTCCCTCTCTTATTTATAACTGTCTCTCTGAGAAATCACCATCAGAATTGCAACTTAGTATGGAAGAAATGCACTTCCCACCTCCACCAAAAAAAGTGATAAAATTACTCCTTTGGTGGAAACTCTGTGATTTAGGGGAGGGACTGAGACTTGCCAATCTTCCCTCCGAAGTCTTGTCTCCCTACGGTTCTGATTTGGAAAAATGGTAGCTCCTTTCACAGATTACCAGGATCAAAGCCAAAATGTTGAAGTCTCTGTTTACTTTGCAACATGAGAGTTATTTATAAGGTAAATAATTATAAATTGGTCACATAGGTGACCAAAAGTCAAATAGAATGTAAATGCCACAGGTGATGAATAACAGCTGACATAATAAGGAAAATATTCAAAAATTAGTTGATGTTGAAGTCAGGCCTTGAAGTACCATTTCTCAACACAGAGTCTGAACTGAAAATCACATGAGTACTTGCCCAAAACAGGTTCCTCTGGGCCCTACCCCAGCCCTACAGAATCAGAATATCCATATTTACAAAGCACCCTCAGATGATCCTCGTGCATGCTAACATTTGAGAATTTCAGTTGTGGTAAGATTTAGATGTGTGGAAAGAAACCTTAAGAGTTTTTTGGTTTGGGGGTTGTTGTTTGTTTGTTTGTTTGTTTTTTTCAATATTGAGGATTGAGTCCACTGGCCCTCTAGCACTGAGCCACATCCCCAGCCCTTTTTATTGTTTGATTTAAGACAGAGTCTCATTATTTTGCCAAGGCTACCCTTGAACTTACAATCCTGATGCCTCAGYCTCCCAAGTAGCTCAGATTATAGGCATGTGCCACTGCATTCAGCTAAACCTGAAGAGTATTTGATGAGTGAAGCATCCTAAACAAAGATACAAAATAAAAACTGAAACTGAGTTTTTAAAGAGCATAAGGGCCCTCATTTTGTAGAAAGAGGAAAATTCMCATTTACGATCAGGTGAGATAAAGTTGGTTAGTGGAGGAGGCAAGCAGGTGTACAGAAAGCTCTGAACACCTGGCCAGTCTCTCACAGGGAGATTAGCCAGTGTGGGGAAGATAGTTGGTTGACAATGAAGAAACAAACAGTAGTGTTTTAGGCCAGGTTGTATAGGATGAATTAAAGAGAAAAAACTAGAATCAGGAAGACCAACGAATATGTAACTGCAATAATCCAATATAGGGGACAGAGACATCCACTCTACCACCCCTTTGTATGTAGCTTCTTTGATCTAGGAACCTAATTTACATAAGACCCAATCAACAAAAGAAAGCATAAAAGTTTTATTAAATTTACATGTACCTAATGATCTTTAAAGAGAGTGAAGTCCAAAGAAATGACTAAATCGTGATGCTTTAATACTTTTTAGACAAAGAACAATGTAATTGTAAAGGAATTACAGGACAGGTGGATATCTGGTTTAGAGTAGTAAATTCTAGGATTTCTACTAAGAGAATCTATACAGGTGAGGTAGAAGCTAGTGGAAAACAAGGTTTACTTGAGAATTTGTTTWTTCAGGTTTACTGCAGCCCCAATTACCCATCTTTGATGATGAAGGCTGTTCTCCAGCTTTGGTATGTGAAGGACATCCCTCCAAAAAGGAAGATGGATGGAAAGAAACCAGAAATTAAAAGTTGATCATCAGGGGATAGGGTTGTGGCTCAGTGGTAGTGCTTGCCTAGCATGTGTGAGGCACTGGGTTTGATCCTCAGTGAAGAAAAGAAAAGAAAAGAAAAGAAAGAAGGAAGGAAGGAAGGAAGGAAGGAAGGAAGGAAGGAAGAAAGAAAGAAAGAAAGAAAGAAAGAAAGAAAGAAAGAAAGAAAGAAAGAAAGAAAGAAGGAAGGAAGGAAGGAAGGAAGGAAGGAAGGAAGGAAGGAAGGAAAGAAAGAAAGAAAGAAAGAAAGAAAGAAAGAAAGAAAGAAAGAAAGAAAGAAAGAAAAAGAAAGAAAGAAATTGTGTCCACCTAAAACTAAAATAAATTTCTTTAAAAAAATGTTGAGGGCTGGGGATGTGGCTCAAGCGGTAGCGCACTTGACTGGCATGCGTGGGGCACTGGGTTCGATCCTCAGTACCACATACAAATAAAGATGTTGTGTCCTCCGGAAACTAAAAAATAAATATTAAAAAATTCTCTCTCTCTCTCTCTCTTTAAAAAAAAAATCAGACTTAAAAATAATTTWAAAAATGTTGATCATCAGAGAAGTAGGATGAAGAAGAAAAACTAGCACCACAAAAGTTATGTGGGAAATACATGCCAAGRTGTGGTCAAGTATGTCAGAGCAAACAGGAACTAAGAAGACTGGATCCTTTAAGATGAGTAGCTGAGGGGCTGGGGACGTAGCTCAGTTGTAGAGCACTTGCCTGTCATGTGTGAGGCACAGGGTTCAATTCTCAGCACCACATATAAATAAATAAAGATCCATTGACAACTAAAAAAATATTTAAAAAAAAGATGAGTAGCTGAACTAAACTTTATGTACCTCGGTAACGTAACGTAACAAACATTTTGAACTAAATATGTTGCACACTATGCAAAATTCTTTCCTCAAAGACTATAAGCCTCTCTATCAGGAGTCCTAGGTAGAATTTCATGGTGTCAGGCCCTGGGCTGTCATACCACAGCGTGAAGATTCTCTTCCTCTATTCCCAGGAAAAGCACTAAAAGTGGATCTCATTTTGCTTGTCGTGAAACTCATGTCTCACTAAAGGTCAGGCAAGTCAGAAAAACTACAGGCTGAAAACTTAAAATTATTTGCCCAATTGTAGTTTTATTATTATGCAGGAGCAATAGCAGCAACAAATGGAGAAGTATACTCAAATTGGCTTTCAACTAGAATGTTATATGAGTATATACTGCTATAGGGATTGTGAAAGTGTGAATGAGGAACTGTCTCTTGTTTTTGTTGGTCTTTATTGCTATGGCTAGTTATTAAGTGTTGTAACTTTTAGCATGAGTTTTCCTAATGGTTAGTCTCATGGGTCAAGTTTTCCTGCATTTGCCTGGCGTAGTGTGATACGGAAAATATGAGGCCATGTTCACAAGGTTCTAGACTTGTCTTTCTATTCGAAGGAACAAGAAATGAACTTCTTTGGGAGCAGGATGGGTGAGGTTTGGGTGATTTCTGTTTGTTGCAATACTGGGGGTTGAACCCAGAAGCGCTCTACCACTGAGCTACATTCCCAACCTTTTTTTTTTTTTTTTTTTTTTTGTAGTTGCAGATAGAATGCCTTTATTTTATTTGTTTATTTTTATGTGGTGCTGAGGATCGAACCCAGTGCCCCACACATGCTAGGCAAACACTCTGCCACTGAGCTACATCCCCAGCCTCATTCCCAGCCTTTTTAAATTTTTTGAGACAGGGTCTCTCTAAGTTTCAGAGGCTGACCTCAAAATTGCGATCCTCCTGCCTCCACCTCCCAAAGAGCCATTATTACAGGTGTGTGCYACCAATCCCAGTGTCAGTTTGGACTTTTATTAATGGAATAAATTTTAATTTTTTAAAAATTTTAATCTTAACTCCATAAAATGTTTAAAGATATGAGAAAAATATCTGGATTTAGATTTAGATAGGTGAGATCGTGTCGAATAAATCTCTGAAGGGATCTTTACTGACCTACAATTGTTTTAAAACAGGATTCCAGAAGGTTGAAGGAGTTTTGAGAGCCTTCGAATTTAGTGGTTTTCCCTAAACAAAAATAGTGAAGAAACTACATTTCCCAGGAGGCCTGGCGTCAAGTCTACGCATTCGGCTAGGTCTCTTCTCGGCGAAGTGTAGTGGGAAATGTAGTGCTCTGGGCAGGCCCGCACGTGACACTTACGTAGGAAGGCCAGAGGCACCTCGCGGCCGGGGCAGGACMGGGTCTGGGGTATCTAGGTGTGGGCTGCGCCTAGTCTGTAATTTGTTGTGTTCAGTGAGGGGAGGCCACCCATCGTCTGTCCCTAGCSGTATAATAAGCTGGCCCGCGTCCCGGCACTGGCTGGAACCTCTCGGGGGAAATCCGGGTGGGTTTGGCCGGGTGGTGCCGGTCCGATTTCTCGGCAGCCGGGTCGGGCTGGTGAGAAGGTGCAAACCGCGGAGCTGGAGCTGGCGCCCTGCGCCCCACCCAGGCTGCGGCCGCACGGGGAGGAAGCGCACTTAGGTTTAGCACAAAGTTTCCTTTTCTGCTTTCTCGTCAGAGCAGCTTAAAAGGACTGGGGTCTGAGAATGCCTCGCTTTAGTTTGAAGCGGGCTCAAAGCCAAACGGATTAAAATAGGCGATTTCCCGCTTCCCCAAAACGCACGCCCTGCTGGCCATGGGCAGCCGAGATCACCTGTTCAAAGTGCTGGTGGTGGGGGACGCCGCAGTGGGCAAGACGTCGCTGGTCCAGCGATATTCCCAGGACAGCTTCAGCAAACACTACAAATCCACCGTGGGAGGTGAGACGTCTCCAGGGGGAGGGGCGGGCAGGACCCGGGCCCCAACTGGAACCCGAAATGGGGACCACGTCGGGTGCGTGGTGCCCGTGGATCCTTGTTGGGGGTCAGGAAGTAGGTGTCTGGGATTCTCGAGGGAGTGAAGTTTGGTTTGCATGCCTCTCTTGGGTCTCCCTAGCCAGGTTTTCCCAGTCGGAATCGCCTGYCTGGAAAGAGGGCAAAGGTGTAAAGATGAAAAATGGGGGAAGGGAGAGTCCAAGTGAGCAATTGCTCTATACCAATGACCAACTGCGAACTCCCGCAGCGTTCAAGCAGTCCAGGGCCAGTCTCTGAAGAGCAGAGGCAGCTGAGACCCTCTGTAGGGCCGGTTAGGTGCCAGCGGGGTCTTTGCCCAGCTTCTCACGGGAGGTTACAGACAGCTGTTGAAGAAGGAGTAGAGAGGATTTAACATGGCCGAGACAAGGGAATTTAGGGGGCCAACTGGTCTGAAGGACCCAAGGATGGGGCCAGCACTGGGACCCAAAGAGCCTCCGCCGTCTGCCACATTGTCAAATGCCCATCGGAGCCMATAAGCTCTGCCTTCTGTCCACTGATCGCTTGAGTGAAGGTAACCTAGGGATTCTTCAAAGAATGTGAGAAATTCTCCAAAGAATGTAAAATATACCAGTTCTCTGACCTATATTCCCACTCCTTTTCCTCTCAAACTGGGGAAGAGAGGGAACACTAAGGAGTTAATTCACTAAAGAGTGGCCTTTTGGAATCAGCCGAGCAGATTGTTTTTTTCTAGAGGTAGACATGTCTTTTTGTTCATTAGAAGATATTTAACTAAGAAGAGCTGGTGATGGAAAAGAGTAACTCAAAAACTTATCTCTTAAAGTAATTTTTTTGGACTGAAGATGTAGCTCAGTGGTAGAGCACTTGCCTAGCAGGTGCAAGTCCTTGGGTTCAATCCCCAGTAACACACACAAGAACTTTGTTGAGGAAAAAAAACTTGTGCTAATGTAAATTCTGAAAATGTGTCCTGGGGTTCATGTGAATTTTTTTTATTTTTAATTAATAACCATCTAGTTTGCAATTAAAATATCCTCCTTAAGAAAATCCAGCAGCTGGGCACATGCCTGCAATCCCAGACACTCAGGAGGCTGAGTCTGAAGGATGACAAGTTCAATGTTAGCTTGGGCAAATTTAGCAAAAACCCTGTCCAAAAAGAAATGTGTGTGTATGTGTGTGTGTGTGTGTGTGTACATATCTCCAGCAGAATTGTTTAAGTTTCAGACTATATCCTTACCACTCTGCCCCCTTACTCCTAAATAACATGAGGGACCTTATTTCATAGATTTGGGTTAAAATGTTCTGCTTATTCATCTTTATGAATTGTTCTAGTTTTCTCTTAGTAAATAATATAATTGGATCTGGCTTTTATTTCTGTCACAGATGTGGAAGAATATATTTGCCAACCTCAGGAATTATTCTATTTCCTTATTAAAAACTTGCCCCTGGGGCCAGGGTTGTGGCTCAGTGGTAGAGCACATGTGTGAGGCACCACATCAAAATAAACAAATAAAATAAAGGTATTGTGTCCAGGGCTGGGGTTGTGACTCAGCAATAAAGTGCTCGCCTCACATGTGCGAGACCCTGGGTTCGATCCTCAGCACCACATAAAAATAAATAAGTGAAATAAAGGGATTGTGCCCAACTACAACTAAAAAATAAATATTTTTTAAAMAAATGTATTATGTCCATCTATAGCTAAAATATGAGGSGGAAAAAAAAGCTTCCCCTACCCCATACTTGTTCATCCTTAATTCTCAGAGTCTCAGTATCTCCAGATTTGGTAGGGTTTCAGCATAACTGTTTTTTAAAAATATTTTTAGTTGCAGATGGACACAGTGCTTTATTTTATTTATTTATTTTTATGTGGTGCTGAGGATCGAACCCAGTACCTCACACATGCTAGGCAAGTGCTCCAGCACGGAGCTACAACCTGAGCCCTATCGGCATAACTTTTTTTTTTTTTTTTTTTTTTAAAGAGAGAGTGAGAGAGGAGAGAGAGAGAGAGAATTTTTATTATTTATTTTTTAGTTCTCGGCGGACACAACATCTTTGTTGGTATGTGGTGCTGAGGATCGAACCCGGGCCGCACGCATGCCAGGCGAGCGCGCTACCGCTTGAGCCACATCCCCAGCCCCTCGGGATAACTCTTAAGCATCATCTACGTAGTGCCCTCTTCTTAGGAATCCTTGGGGACCTTCTTCATACATCATGTTCTCACCTACAGCCTTATGGATGTAGAATTCCCCAGGGTGATTTTTTTCATAATACAATTTAATTAGAAACCAACAGTGAAATTGAATGTGGATAGTAGAAATGGGACCGTGTTCATCTCGTTTCCTCCGTTCCCCACCCCCAACACTCCTCCCTGAGAAAATCCCCTAAATCTCCTGAAACTGTTTAATTTGAGAATACTTGAATTCATAATCACTGTCACTACCTGACCTCAGCCTTGGAGACAAGTAGTAGCAAATAAATTGGCTTGACAGGAGAGGAATAGCTGGAGATCTCTTTGGAGAATATGAATTATCTGTCCCACACTTAATGTACAAGTGCAGGCTCATCTCAGCCCATTCAAGGCTTACACATACATAAATGGGATTAGAGTTGCATGTCCCTTGAGTTGTAACTGCATATGTGATCTGAGTTTTGTTTTGTTTTTTTTTTTTTTCTGTACTAGGGGTTATACCAAGGGGTACTTAACCACTGAGCCACATTTATAGCCCTTTGTTTTTCTTTTTTTTTAAATTTTGAGACAGGGTCCCCCTAAATTGCTTAGGGCCTTACTAAGTTGCGGAGGCTATCCTTGAACTTGTGATCCTCCTGCCTTAGCCTCCCAAGTCACTGGGATTACAGGTGTGCATCACTCACTGTGCCTGGCCTATCTATCCCTGGATTTTTTTAAAGGTAAATTTTATTAAAGTATAATAAACTTATCTTTTCAGTGGATTTTGCTCTGAAGGTTCTCCAGTGGTCTGACACCGAGATGGTACGGCTCCAGCTGTGGGATATTGCAGGTAAACTGGGAAGGCCAGAGAGGAACAAGGGAAGAAATATTGGTTTAAGCAACAAGATCTCAGAAAAAAAGTGGAGCAGCAAAAATCAGAATTTTTTTTTCTTCTGAAGCTGGAATGATTGAGCTGCTTTGAGGATACATGGAATGAGGAGATAGAACTTTTGCAGATGTTTTTTAGATGTTTTGTCCTGAATAAATGAAAAGCAATCTGTATGGAAGGGTTTGTGAGATGGTGGATTGTCCAGACCCTAGGTAGATGCTTCCATAGCAGAAGGTGGGTGCTTTTTGTAGGTTTTCAGCTGACCGTGGAAACAAGATCCTCAGAAAATAGACAATAATAATAGTGAATCTGTATTATGTGCTACCATTCTTCTGAGTATTTCAAATTTACTGATTCATTAATTCTAACAGTCCTATCATAAAAGCTTTTATCTTCACTTTACAGATGAGAAGTCTGAAGCACTGAGTCTGATTTGCTCAAAGTCACATAGATAACAAATGGCAGGGCAGGGATTTGGACTTAGAGCAATCAGAGTGCAGAATCTGCCTTGGAGATAATTGGGCTTAATAAGGATAGAAAATCCAAGATAGAAAACCAGGAGTCCTCTACCACCTATATGCAAACTGCTCTGGCCCACAGTGAAGGAAGGACAGGCAGGGCATCAGAGGACACTGAAAGTGGTTGTCAGGGTCACCTTCTCAAGAACTTCTCTTCTCCCCAGGGCAGGAGCGTTTCACATCCATGACACGACTATACTATCGAGATGCCTCCGCCTGTGTTGTTATGTTTGATGTTACCAACGCCACTACCTTCAGCAACAGCCAGAGGTGGAAACAGGACCTGGACAGCAAGATCACACTGCCCAATGGGGAACCTCTGCCCTGTCTGCTCTTGGCCAACAAGGTACATGGCCAATCTAAGAAAATGACCCCTGGCCTCTGTGGTCAGAAAGTGGATCTAAGAATGCTCTGTGATAGTGAGCCTCTGTTTCCCCTTTTCGAGTTGGCAAGATCTTCTCTACTTCCTTTGAAGAGGTGTAGAGAATGTGACTTTCTTTCTTTCTTTTTTTTTTTTTTGTTAAAAAAATATTAGATCTTATAATTTACAAAAAGTTAAACAAATTGAAATGTAGACATTTGATGAATATGTCTATTCATCTGCATTTGAAGTGATAAATAAAACATGAAAATAACCCAGGAAACTTCCTGGTGATCTTTCCTAACCACTATTCTCCCTTTCCTCAAAGGTGACCTCATCCTAATTATTAATGTAATACGTTGATTTTGCCTCTTTGAACCTTGCACAGAAGGAATCATATGGCTCACAGTTTGCTGTGTCTCCTCTTTTGCTCAATGTCACATACATTTGTAGGATTCACCCATATTGTTTCATGCAGCAAAAGTTTTTTTTTTAATTGAAATAAAGGTATTGTGCCCAACTATAACTAAAAAATAAGTATTTTTTAAAAAAAGGTATTGTGTCCATCTACAGCTAAAATATGAAGGTTTTGCACATTTTCATTGCTCTATAACATTTCATTATATTAATGAAAATTTATGTGTTCTTTGATAGTAGAATGAATCAGACATTAGTACTCTATATGCAAATATGATTACATGACCTGTGTAACGCTACATCATGTACAACCAGAAGAATGAGAAGTTTTACTCCAATTATTTATGATATGCCAAAAGGCATTCTGCTATGATAGGTAACTAATTAGAACAAATAAAAAGAAAATTTATCCATTCTAGTATACATCARCTACTTGGTTGTTTCTACATTTTAGCAATTAAACTACAGCTGTTTTACATGTATTTCTGATCCAGTGTATGTATGCATGTATTTATTTATTTATTTTCCCATTTAACTCACCTTTTTAAATTTTTATTTGTTCTTTTTAGTTGTACATGATAGTAGAATATATTTTGACATATTGTACATACATGGAGTATAACTTCCCATTCTTGTGGTTGAACGTGATGTGGAGTTGCACTGGTCATGAATTCATATATGAACATTGGAAAGTTATGTCCCATTCATTCTACTGTCTTTTCCATTCCCATTCCCCCTTTCTTCCCCCCACAGAGAATGTGACTTTCTTTGGGAAGAATGTTGACTGTAGAGTTTAGATACTGATGTTCTTAGCCAGTGGTAGAGAATTGTTTTAAGCCTACAGGTATCTGAGACATGTTTCTCTTCCTAGGAAGTTTATGGTGTTGCATTTTATGTATTTTTCTTTGTCAGTGTGATCTGTCCCCTTGGGCAGTAAGCCGGGACCAGATTGACCGGTTCAGTAAAGAGAATGGTTTCACAGGTTGGACAGAAACATCAGTCAAGGAGAACAAAAATATTAATGAAGCCATGAGGTGAGTAGTTCATGCTAWCCCGGGGACAGGCACAGAGATTTACCCATTGTGTACCGTTGCCCTGTGTACCGTCTTTTCTTGATTCTGATGAAGCAAGACTGAACCACTGGAATGCCAACTCCTGAACATCGGGAATACTGTCTTCTTTCCCATAATGACTGGGGACCAAGAGCTTTTAAACCTATAGCTTTATAGAATGTCATCTGCTTATGAATCTGCCTGCTATATCTCTTTTTGCTCCATCCATTTGCTCAGGATTTTTCATTTCTTTATTTGTAGAGTCCTCATTGAAAAGATGATGAGCAATTCCAAAGAAGACAGTATGTCTTTGTCCACCCAAGGGAACTACATCAATCTACAAACCAAGTCCTCTTCCAGCTGGACCTGCTGCTAGTACAATTTGACTTGTTTCTATCCCAGTTCTAGAAGGCCTTTCCATTTACTCCCATTGGGCCCACCCAGCAATTTCATTAAGAATATTTGAACTATTTCCTGCCAGCTATCCAGTAAGAAGGGCCATTGTGGCTTAAAAAGACCCCTGGGACCCATGTGTATTTCGGCATCTCCTGGATATTGGCTCTGACTTGCTGCCAGCTCATGTGGCCCAGTCAGTGACTTCTGTGAATGAATAATCACTTCATCCCTCAATTTGTGATCTGGAACTTTGTGGGAAGAATTAGAAATCAGCATCTGTGTTTTCAAAGTCTTAATTCTCTGCCAGGTGTGGTGGTGCACACCTGAAACTCCAGAGACTCAGGAGGCTGAGGCAGGACGATCACAAGTTTGATGCCAACCTCAGCAATTTAGTGAGACCCTGTCTCAAAATAAAAAAAAAATAAAAAAAAAACTGGGGATGTATTTCGGTGGTTAGAGCACTTACCTAGCACAAGGCCCTTGGTTCAAATCACAGTACAGGCGGGGGACAAAAAAAAAGGAAGGAAAGAAAAAAGGAAAAGAAAGTATTTGAGGCCAGCCTGGGTAACTTAGTGAGACACTGTCTCAAAATAAAAAATAAGAAGGGCTGGAGGGCTGGGGTATAGCTCAGTGGTAGAGCACCCTTAGGTTCATCCCTAGCACTGCAAAATAAATAAATAAATAAATAAATAGAACTGGGGATGTATCTCAGAAGTAGAGTGCTCCTAGGTTCAATTTCCAGTACCAGAAAATAAAAAAATAATTGTCATCTACTTTTGACCTTATTTTACCACTTGATATATGATTGAGAGAAAAATGAGATCAATTGTCTTTTCCTAAATTCCTCATAGGCCAATTGCTTTCAGATTCTTTCTGTCTTGGACATGGAATTTAAACATCTGATTCTGGGATGTAGAAGATGGGGGCTGAACATCTATGGATTGGGGGCTACTGGTGGTGAACTGTATTACTCTATTTTTGAAACTTCTAGTCATGATTAATTTTCTCTCAGCTTCAAAAATAGTCAAGCTTTTAAATTGCCTGCCTTGTGTAATGAGAGCATTTCTTTCCACAAAGAAATTAATCCACATTAGGATTTTCTGGGTTGATGTTCTGAGGCATGATGCTGTATTATCAGTTGGCTTGATAATACTCAAGGGGCTTTGTTCCTCAAAGCTTTGGGGCACCTGAATGAAAGAAAAAAGGGGCGAGATTAACAGAACAGAATCCACTGCAGCAACTTTAGGAACAGTGTGGGTGGCTAGCACAGCCATAGGAAACAAATATTATGTACAGGCCTTGGCCTGGGGGTGGAGAGTGGATAGACAGAAAATCATTAGGTAATTTAAGCACTAAATTGGGCAGCGTTTTTAGTGCCGAATCACTTCTAGACGGTTTAATTTGTTAAATTCTTCCTAGGATGGTGATTTACAATCTACCCAAGGTTATGCATATTCGTAGTGAATCCGGGCCTAAGTTCTTTGGTAGATCTTAAATAAATGTCCTAAGTCTGGCTCATCAGAACCACCTGGGAAACTTTTTTTTTTTTAATTTCTTAAAATTTTTAAGATTTTAGGGATCCCAGTCTCAAATCTAGTAAATCAAACTTCCAGGGGTGCAGCCTGGGAATACATTGTTCTTGTCAAAGCATCCCAGGTAATTCTGAATGACCAGATTTGGAAACCACAGCTGGAGAACTTTGTAAAAATTGAGAGTCAGGTCTTTACTGTGTAAAGAATCCTGGGTTTGCCAGGTATGGTGTGCACGCATGTAATCCCAGCGGCTCAGGAGGATCACAGTTCAAAGCCAGCTTCAGAAAATTATTGAGGTCCTAAGCAACTCAGCAAGACTCTATCTCTAAATAAAATATAAAAAAGCGTTGGGGATGTGGGCTCAGTGGTTAAGCACCCCTGAATTCAATTCCCAGTACCCCCCCCCCAAAAAAAGAATTCTGCATTTGGGGCAGGGGATATAGTTCAGTTGGTAGAGCGCTTGCCTCTCATGCACAGAGCAGTGGGTTCAATCCCCAGCAACACACACACACACACACACACACACACACACACACACACACACACAAGAATCCTAGGTTTGTGTTTGATCAGTTACTTTCCAGGTGATTCTCATACACACAGGCTTTCAAAGCCACAGTCCCAAGGAAGAGGCCAGGAGCCAAATAAAAGAAGGACAAAGTGGGCCAAGCCTTCAGTAATATGTTGTTGATTTTTGATGTAAAGATTGAACCCAGGGGCTCCCACTTGCAARGCAAGTACCCTACCTCTAGGCTACATTCCAACCCATTTCTTTTGTTTTTTGGTACTGGGGATTGAGCCACATTCCTAACCCTTTTTAATATTATAATTTTTAAAAATTTTGAGACAAGACCTGACTAAGTTGCTAAAGCTGACCTACAACTTGCATCCTCCTACCTCAGCCTCCCTAGTCCCCACTGTGCCAGTTCCTTGTTTGTTAATGTCAGTTATTATAATTTGCTTGATATTTTAAGACCTTGAAGTTCTTTTTTGTATTACTGTTTTCAGATAAGGTTTTTGTTTTGTTTTGTTTTGTTTTATTTGTGGTGCTAGGGATTGAACCCAGGGCCTTGTGCATGCTGGGCAAGCACTCTACCAATTGTGCCTATCCCTAGCCCATCAGATAACATTTTGATTACAGTGATTCTGAAGATAATAGTAGAGTAACAAATTCCACTTGTTTAGAGAAAATTGATTTTTACAAGATCACAAATAAATGGAAAGTAGGTCTCATATTCATGGTGGTTAATAGTTAATGGCCTTAAATGTCAGTTTGTTAAGGTGCTATTTTATACCAGTAGTTCAAGAATATTGTAGCATTGGAGATTTTATCTTTATAACCTCTGTTTTAAAGAAATTAATTTGCTAGTACCAATGCTTAGGTCCAGTTGCTTAGTACCAATTCAGAAATTGATTTAATGCCCCAAATACTGCTTGGAGATGGGACCATTTTAAAACCAAATATGTTTTCTTTTCCCATTTGCTGACTCAGGATCTGCCTGCCTTTTTGAGCATTGCTGGAGGCTGGCCSGCCAGCCCTTCTGGATTTTTTTTTCTGCCAACTGGTGAACATTATAGGCCTGAAAAATCATTAAAGGCGGCACTGAAATATAACTAATTCTACTCTATTCCCCTGTCCTTAAAGAAAAGGCACATACCTGTGATCCCAGCTGTGTGAGAGACTGAGGCAAGTCCTGCCTTGATAACTTGGAGAAAACTTGTCTCAAAATAAAAGATATGCCAGGCATGGTGGTGGAGTTTGTAATCCCAGCAACTTGTGAGGCTGAGGCAAGAGGATTGCAAATTTGAGGCCAGCCTCAGCAGCTTAGCAAGACCCTAAGCAATTTAACAAGACTCTGTCTCAAAACATTTTTTTTAAAAAGGCTGGGGACGTAGCTCAGTGGTAAAGTGCCCCTGGGTTCAATCCCTGGTACCAAAAATAAAAATAAAATTTTTTGAAAAAGATAAAAAGTACTGGAGGTGTAATTCAATGATAGAGTCTTGTCTAGCATACCAAGGCTCTGTTTCTAATTCCCAGTAACATGGGGTGGGGGTGAGGAGGAGGAGGAAGAAAATATTTACATGAATGGAAATGTGACTATACTAAAAATAGCTAGGTCCTATCATTTGGATGCCACTCCTTGGTAAAATTGTTTAGAACGTGGACATTTTTGTAGCCCCTCCCTAGAGATGTTTCTATATTTGAGTCAAAATTTCCTTTTGTCATTGGTCTGGTCTTTGGCAAAAAATAAAGTCATAAGAATTTCCTAAAGGGTGTTCTGAGCAACCCAAGGAAGGGCTGAGAACAGAACTGTGGGATAGTGACTGCCCACCTTTGTTCTTTGAACAGAATAGCAAGTGACCCAATAAGTAGGGACAAAGCAATCATAGGGCAGGGATGGCCCTCAGCAATAGGGTGATGAATTCCTTTTTTATCACTTAAAAAGTAATGATCCAAAGCTGGTCCAGGGTGATTTACCTAAGTCATTCTCCCCAGCTAAGTTATAATTGGATTCCTTATTTTTTCCTATTATTTCCATATTAACTTTATTCTGTTGATTTGTGTCTGTGTCCTCAGGACACTGTCCCATCTCATAAGAGACTTTTCTTGCCAACCTTTTATAGACAGTGGCCCACATTTGACATAATCTAAGACCATGGTTAGAGAAAGTAAAAATCTCTATATAATTCCATAAAATCAGATTACCCAAGAAAACAAASCTCAGTTTCCCTTTCCCCTCCCTCCCTCTTAACTCACTATGTTTGGGTAGACTCCCGCAGTGTAAGTGACTCAATCTATTAAAGCCAAATAATCCCCAAAGGTACATGTTGAAATAAGTAGGAAGTCATTAGAAAGAAATGTATGTTAGAAAGAACTCGACATGTGCTTTTGATTTATCCATAAATACTACAGACTGCAGATTATATCTAGAAGTGATTTTATTGTTAGAAAAATCCTGCTTTCTTTCCTTTAAGGCATTTTAGACATGATTTGAATCCTCTCAAGTTTTGTCTGCAGAGTTTCAGTATAATAATTGTATTGATCTGTATTAGAGTTCTCCAGGGAAATAGAAACAATAAGTGAAAAAGAGAGAGAGATAGAGAAGCTGGACTTGGTGGTGCACACCCGTAATCCCAGCTACTTGCAAGACTGAGGCAGCAGGATCACAAGTATCAGGCTAGACTCAGCAACTTGGCAAGACCCTCTCTCAAAATAAAAAATAAAAAAGGGACAGGAATGCATCTCGGTAGTAGAGTTCCCCTGAGTCTTATCCCCAGTACTACACCAAAAAAAAATTTTGTAGAGAGATATAGATATCAATATATAAAGAGATATGTAGAGAAATATAGATATCAATATATGGAGAGAGCCAGGCATGGTGGCACATGCCTGTAATCCCAGTATCTCAAGAGGCTGAGACAGGAGGATAGCGAGTTCAAAGCCAGCCTCAGCAATCGCAAGGCCCTAAGCTACTTGGTGAGACCCTGTCTCTAAATAAAATACAAAAAAAAATAAGGCTGGGGATATCACTCAGTGGTCTAATGCCCCTGAGTTCAATCACACTGGTACCAAAAAAAAAAAAAAATGGAGGTACATAGAAGGGTAAGTGTATATGTATTTATTATAAGTAATTAGCTCATACTGTAATGGAGTCTATCAAGTCCAAATTTTGCAAAGTGAAGGGTTCTAGTTTGAGTCCCCTTGAAGGTCAGCAGCCTGGCAGATCTAGTGTTTCAGCTGTTAAGGAGGAGAATTTTTTCTTGCTTGAGAGAAGACATCTTTATGTTCTGTTCATGTCTTCCACTGATTGGGTGAGGCCCACCCACTTTAAGGAGTCAG